TATTACTGCTATCAGATATTACAAATGGATAATTGGAGAATACACATATGGTTTTATCTTCATAGTTTATTTTTTACTAAAACATGAAAGAATGGTCAGTATCTACATATAAAGAAACTTAACATGATTGATAGTTTTCTGAAAGTTTGGACAATAATGACTATATTATTTTATGCATTTGATTATCTAAAACCGCATAGCATCATTTTTGAAGACATATGATCTCCTAATTTAAGGGAAATATGGAGATATTATCAGGCATCAGGCAATTAAATAAATTTCTGGGTGCCAAACAGTACACTGGAGAAATTCCTAAGCCAAACATGGGAGAAGTCAGGATAGGCTCCCCCAAAATACAGTTGTTTAATGTAAACAGAATAAATTAAAATTTTAACCTCTTTTTATTGATAATACACTACTCCAAAAAGAGGTTACAATATGTTTGGTTATTAAGAAACATATGCATAAAGCTGTCTTATAGTTCCAAATTGGGGGTATAAATTTTTTCCAATTCCTTAAATGTGCAATCTAGCACTTTTTTTTTACATTTAAAAACATTTTACTATATTAGTGTGGAAACAATGATATTCCCCACTTTCACCCTGTAGCCCTTGACCCCTTGTACCCTAATAAACTAAGATTATAAAAAAAAATTTACTTTGTTTTATGATATATTTCCATAGAATCTGGGGTTGCCTGTGCCCTTCTCCCTACTCGCCCCATTGATTTGCTCTCTAGTTTTACAATGCCTGTCCTTCATGAACAGTCACAAGTCCATCATGCTGTTATCGAAGTGTTTCCCAAAATGCAGGCATAGACACTGTCAGAGAGTCCCTCATCTTACTATTAGGATGTATTCAATTCTTTCATTAGGAGTCCATCTTCGGTGTGTATGCATAGAGACAAAATGGAATAGTATTAAGTAGTTCTTAAAAAGACACCATTAGTAGGAGAATTTGGCATGCATACAAAAGTGTGATTTTTTTTTAAAGAAATGTTAATCCTTCAAAGAATTGTTTGCTGCTTTCTTGAAAACCCCCATTTTGGAAAATGCAGTATTTAATCTGGTCACTTTATATGTTCAGGTAAAATTGGATTATAAAATAATAAATTTAACAAATTTATAAATAAAATATTAAATTTCATAATCTAATTGGCTTTTATTCATTAGAGGTTTTGACCTTTTGCATGAAATCAGAAGTCTCAGATTTTGCCCTAAAATCTGTGCTTCATGTTTGGAATTCAGTTTAAATGTTACTTTTAAAATGGAGTTCTAAAAAGAAATGTAAATATGACAGAAAACTTTAAAGAAGATTCATCATATGCAAGAGAATTATCAGATATTCTTTTATATTTATTTATAAAATATGTAGTTTATAATATTTAAAATATAATTGATATTGGTGGTCACAGTTCATTTATCAGTTAGTCATATATCACATATAATAATAAAATAATAAATAAATAAATATTGGAATTCTGAATAGTGTGGGCCGAAAATCATCTTTCCTTCTTATTTTTTAAAATATTTTTATTGCACAGAAATATGATACAGATCATGAGAGCCAAATTAAGTGGAGTTATACATCTTAATGTCAAATTTTAACTGAATCAACTTTTATAAAATTGGCAGATATATTTAAAGGACTCTTATGAAAAATCATATGAAGGAGCTCCTGAAAAAATTCATGAAAAATTCAGATTATGTAAAAAATGTCTGCGTATTTAAAAATATTTTTGCATCAATTAAATTGTCTTTCAACTTCATTTTCTATGAACTTTTGAAGTAACCTCTTATTTGTTACTAGTTTAAGAAGCAACCAGTAATGGGACAGATGTCATTTTTCTTTCTTCTATTTGTAGTTTGTAATTTTTGCATACCAAATTTCCAACATAATTCTACTTTTAAAAATCCAAAAAATGCACATATGAGTTATCAAAGAGCCTGAAATTATATACTAAACTCAAATATACGCCACAGAAATGAAAACTAGACATAAGGAAGTGTACAATTTGCCAATGAAACAGTACCAAACAATAGAAAGTGGAGAAGTGGCCTTTGAACTTGAATTAAAGCAAATACAAATAACCAGATTTGAAGACCATGGAGGAAGAAAGCCAACATAATGAAAAATTTAGTGATTTGTTGAGATTGTCAAATGAAACAACACATATATTTTCCAAAAACAGTCAATAATAATAGGCAGTGGGGTGAAATGTGTTGAGGATTTATTTTATAATCAGAAGAGCATTTATTGGCAAGGCATTTATTAGCTGATTGCTGTCGGGTAGCGAGCTAATCCTCTGCTCATATGCAAGCATCCCCTGAGTGCCTGTTCTAGTCCCAGCTGCTCCATTTCCGATCATACTCTCTGCTCATAACCTGGGAAAGTAGCTGCAATACAGGGGTAGTTATTGATGTAACCAATAGTGAGGTGTCAATATTATTTTATTCATTTTATTTATGTTAGGAGCAAAATTAGGTTCAATAGCAATATTTAAAGAAAGGTTGACAACAAATGACAAGAGAACATAGTTTCTCCCAATTCACTACCAAATAGTTCAGAAAAGGAAAGTAACAATGAAACTGAGATAATATGTAAACAGTGAATCTGAATCAGGTGCTTATAGAAGTTACACAATACTTACACAATTTGGGGGATTTTGCTAAATTTAAATAATATTATAACTGTAAGGATAAAGAAACTGGGATTCCACTATACATTATGTCTTTATTATAGCAGTCCCACCAAGGGATAATTAGAACCAGATTTATTGAATGGTAATAAATAGCTATGTTATATTTCTGTGAATTTAGGGTAAAATGGTAACTCGATTTTCACCATTATTAATAGATGAACACAGTAGTTATGCATTTTATTGTGATTTTTAAAGAATTTTTGCTGTCTTTCCCAATAATCTATGTATTTAAACTTGCTATGAAAGAGTTACAGCACAAGTACCCTTCTGTATTATATACAATAAGTGCAAACAGGGTCCAGCACAGTAGCCCTGTAGCTAAAGTCCTCACCTGGCATGCACAGTGATTCGTATGGTCACTGGTTTGTATCCTGGCTGCTGCACTTCCCATCCAGCTCCCTTCCTGTGGCCCAGGAAAGCAGTAGAGAGTGGCCCAAGGCCTTGGGACCCTGGACCCATGTGGGAAACCCTTAAGAAGCTCCTGGATCCTGGCTTCGAATTGGTTCTGGCCTTTGCTGCCACCTGGTGAATGAACCATTACAGGGAAAAACTTCCAATACGACTTTCCAATAAAAAACATAAATGAGAGAGAGAGAGAGAGAGCAAAGGGAACTCTAAAAATAAAATTTGGGCTTTTATAAACAGAAAAGGAAGAAATATACTGTCTAACATTTGTGGCACCAATCATTCAGAATCCATTATCTATCTCATGTTAGATCTCAGTCAAGTGAACTGACACAGTAGATTTTACTAATCAGAAGTCATAGTTTCACATGCCGATTGGACTGTCCATCACTGGCTTACTATTCCTTGGAGCCAGTCCACTTTCACATCATAGCTTTATAAGACGAGCTAGATTCAAATGCTGCCTGCTATACCCTGAACTCAGCCTGCATATGAGTTTAGCGGGCTGCTGGTCAGGTGTTAAAAAACCAATTTATTATTTAATTCTGGCTTCCTTCCATAGGAATCAGAATTGACTGAGTGTTATTCACTGAGCATCTCATATTTTCACTGAGTCGTACTAATATATTATTGTGAATCATGGGAAATTGTGGCCTTATTTCCCAATGAATTTTGAGAAGACTGGGGAGGCATGTAGAACAGAGGGATCTGAACCAAGAAAACACCTGTGACTCTCTCACATGCATGGACAGTAACACTGAAATAAATGTGCCGTGGCATAGTCAGTAAAGCCACCCCCTGCAGTAAAGGCTTCTCCTCTGGGTGCCAGTTGAACTTGTGGTTGCTTCAGTTCTCATGCAGATCTCTTCCAAAACCCCTGGGAGAACAGCAGAAGTCCCTGCACCTGCAAAAATCTCCAGGCTCCTGGTTTTAGAACAGCTAGTCTAGCTGCGCCCATTGCTTGGGAGTGAACCAGAAAAGAGAATATTGAAGATTATCTCTCTCTCTTTTCCTGCAACTCTAACTTTCAAATAAATAAATAAATCTTATCAAAAGACTAAAATAAAAGCCTGTCACAAACTCACATAAATTGAAAACAAACAAAATATGCAATATAATCATGAGTCTAGGAGTTCTGAGCCAACTGTACTTAATTCTAATCACTGTATATTAAGTATGCATCTAGCTTTAATCTCCCATGCTTTTTCTATAAAATATACCTCATAACATTATTTTAATGGCCTAACAAGTTCACTTACTACATTCAGCCATGAATATAGAGTAACTAGCATCTGTTATCATTAGGGAATGAGTGAGTTACATAATTATATAATCCATATTTCCATAAATCTGTGTTTATGGCAACATCAATGATCAACCCCAACATCCAGTAACCATGTTTATCAGATCTATTTTTACATTAGCTCTTCTCTCGGGTACTATAGTTTAAGACCAGGATCCAATGTACAGAATTAGACAACTGAAACAAAGGTAGAATATAAAGAAGGACACTAAAGGCAGTGTTGGAGAGATTTTCATTAAAGAAAAATCACATAAAAGGGCACATGCTTCTTTCTTCCTTAAACATGAAATCAACTTTCTTTGTGCAGAGGCAGCCTGGTGTCTAGTTGAAGTACTCTGATGAGGCAACAAGGCCACCTCAACTAATACACTAACGAGTGACTAATCATGAAAACTTGGGGTAATAATTTTATTAACCTACACAGTTCCTCTGAGAGTGAAATGAACTACACATGACAAGAATTACAAAGATTATGTGACCATGTTCACTTTGAAAGTTTTCCTTTATTACTATTTGAAAAACATGAAAACACCTAAAGATGCCAATCACTGTTGATTCCTACTTGGGGTAGCTGAGAAGTAAAATGCTATACCTTATAAACTGCCAAGTGCAAGGCTGTAAATCCATTTCTTGTCAGTCGAGATGGGCGGAGTCCTTTTAACATAAGAGTTCGAATATGTGACTTGTTGCCTTTGAAAGAAAAATTTCGGAATGCTAAATCATGTCAGACAGGTAAATATCTTTCACATTTTTCTGCAACTTAACAATACATTCCATATTTACAATAACAAAATATCAGGCTGCTGTTCACAGACTGCTTGTGGCATACTCTACTTACTTGAAGTGAAACTTAACAGAGAACATTTCTATTACACCTTAAAAATTTTATATTATCGCAATATATTTTGAAGCATTCATCTTACAATTTTTAGGTTAGTGCTGTTATCCCCGGCGCGGTTTCAAACATAAAAACATGAAATAAATCCTTTACCACACTACCAGTTGTAGCAGATTCTTCAAAACGTGCAGCCCTTATGTAGATCAAACCAATACAAAGGCTATGACAAAGGTTGGGAAGACTTGTTCAAGTTTGAACAGAAAATCTACTAATTAGAGTTTGTTTAGTTTGTTTGGAAGCAGCAGTGAAAGCCTATGTTTAGGATACTTGTAAATTAATGTTCTGTCAAGAAAATTGATTCCAATATATTTATTTGCACTAAGAAAATAAAAATTAAGTTGATATTTGCTAAGTTAGTAAATCACGGAGTGGCTCCTAACAACTAGACATTTTAGTAGATGCTTGGAACACATTAATATACAAGGAAAAATAAAATATCAGGCAAAATTAACTCTAAAGCTTCACTTGGTTAGATTTTATCTTTGGCATTTATGACTATACAGACACTTGCTGTGTATTATGAGTAATTGTGATATCTGTAATTTTTATAACAATTTGTAATTTTTGCAAAATGAAGCAATATGAAGTAATATTTGTAATATGAAGTAATTGCTTGAAGATATCTGGGGGGTGACTTAAGTGCTTTTGAACGTAACTTAATTTCTGATTAATATGTCCAGTACTGAAAAGAACAAATGTGTTCTGGTTTTCAAACAAACAAGTAACTAGGTTTAGGGCAAAGACCCATCAATGGAAATATTTGCCTTGTAGTTATTGCCTCAATTGAAGATTGGAGCAAAGGCAAAGAAAATAGTTTAGCAATAGAATTTTCTTGTTGGTTATTATGTAGAACAAATAAGTGATCATATATATACATACATTCATATATATACATACATTCATATATATACATACATTCATATATATGATCAGTTTAGAATGTATGTATATATATGATCAGTTTAGACATATCAAGTTTCAAGTACTCACCTCCACAAATGCAACATAAGTGAAGTAGAGAGAGCCCATTTTCAGTACGGTAATTTAAATTGACTTCACTGAAGGCTTCATCAGAGCTGAAAAGTATTTTTACAAATGATCACAAAATTCATCTTTCAGTATTTACTGTCTTTCATCTTAAAATTACAAAAGAACATTCTATTACTATAAATTCAAAAAATAGTTTTATGATTCCTTGTTGCTTTTGGAAAGAATTCTGGATCCACTGTACAAAGAATTAAAATTAATAGAAATAATGCTAAATATTTGAGAGATTGAGTTTAACGATTTGCATACTGAGTGCTGTGTTCCATGGTTAATTAGAACTATCCATGCTTTTGTGATGTATAAAACCCATGTGTAAGTATGAAACATAGACATCTGATAATAAATTCATTGTTCTCACTCAAAAATTTAAATAGTATCAATGGTGAAATTCAGGAATATCTTTCCAAAAAGAGGTATGAAAGAAAACAAGAAAGAAAGAGAAAAGGTTGTGCTGTGTTTGATAAAAGTTGAGGAAAGGAATATAATCCCAAAGTATTACAAGTTCTGCCTGAAGCAGTTTTCTTGTACTGTGGCTGGGTCAGATTTCACAGATAAAGCAGGGCTAAACTCTGGTAGGGTACTGTGATACAGTCCCAGGTGAGAAAGGGAGTGATTCCATTAATGAAATCCTTGCCTTACTCTGAACAAAGACTGTTGCCCAAGGAGGGCCCTGGGGAGCTTCAGGTAGCCTTTCAAAAGGAAAGGGAAGCGAAAATTCTCTACCTCTTAATGTCCTTGGTACTCCCAGGACTTTTTCACAGGATATGAGATCATATCCTTGGCCTCCCAGGTCAGTTTCAAGCTACCTCCTGCCCATTTAAATCTCCAGCAGCTTTAGTGAGATAGCTTAATCTTTGGTGACTGAGCGAAGGACTCTTATCATTTGTAAAGTACCTACACTAGAAAGTTCTAAATTCAGAATATTATCATCAAGACATCCAGTGAAACACATCAAAGGCTATTGAGATTTTAAAATAGAACAACAACAAAAAAGTGTTATTGTCCAGGGTGCTGCTAAAAGGAAAGCTTCTAATATAGCAGCACAGACGGGCCTCAGTGAAACACCTTCATTAGCAATGGCAAACCTAGTGGTTTGTTTAAAGAGGCATGAGAATATTCCAGAATTTTACCACTTTCCTACTCTTCTTGCTTCTACATGTTTTGCAGCAAAGCCCACAGACATGTTTTTCATAATCAGGTTAACATCTCACCTGAATTTGGAAGACATTATGTAGAACTATGACAAACCCCAGGGATTTATAAATTATGATAATCTGATATAGCAGGATTTGGATTTCATAAAAATAGGTTTGAGTTTATTTCTTTTTTATCAGCACTTTCTCCTAGCTCAAAGAATAATGAAAAGGAATTTGTTATGAAAATGTCATTGCTTAAAAATGAGATTAAGTGCCTTCTTAACACCAAATTGAAAGCAGTACAGATTTTTTTTAATTATAACATTACTCCTAAATTTATTTAAAATTCTTGAAGCCATACAGTATTAACCAGAAAGTGAAACACAGAATGTGATGGTTGAACAGAAAAAAAAAGTAAGTGTTCGAATGGAAGAGGAGAAGGAGGTCTTTATTGATGAAAGTATCTAAATAACTTGCAAACTAAAAGCAAAACAGTGAAAGGGTGTACTTTCTTTTGAGTAAATACTAATACATTTCTTAGTTTATGTAAGAAGAAAACAAGGAATCGCATTGTAACAATAAGCTCTTGAGACAACTTTTTGATAAATATACCTCTAATAATGATATATAGTAATATTTGCTATGTTGTAATGCTCCAAAGAAAGTCACTTCAGCAATGTGAGTTTTCCTCAAAACCTTGTAGTTACACCAGGATCCAAATCCTGCACCACTTGTGCTTTTATTTTTTCCCCCGAATGTGAGCAAGTTATTCAATGCCCTCAAAATTTCAGTTTCTTCAATATTAAGTGTGCGGTTTTGAGGAATAAATGAGGATACGAGCCTATTAGAGTAACTGTCATATGATACATAACCCATCGTTGATTTCTGTACTGTTCTATTACCAATAATGTCAATGCAAATGCACAATTTCTCTTTGAAGTATGAAAGAATATCAGCACAATTTTCAAACCAAGTGTGACCTACAAACTTTCACATTTGAAAATTCGTTAAACTTCCTTAAATTCAAAATCAGTTTTGTAGCTATTCCTCAAAGTGATCTGCCATCCTAATTTTAGGAAAGGATTTATCTCTACATGTTTTCAAAATGAGCATTGAGCTCTTAACTATGCAATAGGGATTCAGGAGAAATTACTGGACTCAAAGTGTTGGAGTTCAGGTTGAGTATTTTGTTGACAATTTCAAGCATTTTCAAGAGTAGAGATACTCAAAGAGTGGAAAACTGAAAGGGACATAACAGTTGAGAATCATTTTGCTTGAGAAGGTAGAGTCAATTGCTTTGTTATTTGCTGATCCATTCAGTAAACTGGGCAGGAGTCCTCTGACCATCTATAATGTGTCTTTTAATACATCTGTTTTTAATGCTTATTGCAGATTGTTTTCAATAGCCTCCTTGATACAAACTATTCATCAATTCCTGTGTTCTTTAATTATACTGGTCCTAGCAATATACATACCAGATAGATCCTGCAATTCACTGTGGTATTAGTCTTCATTTCTAATGACAATGCGTTTTGCAAAGCAAACATTGAATCAACAGAAAGTACTAGATGCCACAATCCGTTATTTTATTTTGTTAGCAAAAGAATAACGGTAAATGAATGTTTGCTGTTCACCTTAGCAAAATGAACAATAGCATTGGACTAGTGGTTTTTTACGCAACAATTATTCATTAGTTCACTGAATCTTGAGCCACAATTAATCATTTCAAAGTGACTCAGCATCGTGTCCAAATGTTGTTTACTTGAACCTGGGCTGCTGCTCCTTGCTTTTGTGCGTCTTTTGAATTATGCTCTACTCGAACTCATGAAACTTCTATTAATATCAACAAAATGAATCAACAGAGAATAGACTTCTTCAATACTTGGCAGTCAAGTGTGATTTTACTTGTACATTTTTGGCTTAACTTTAATAACTGGAATGTAAATTTTTTAATGAGAGTTACTTTGGGGGCTATCTTTGAATCCTAATTCTCATTTCCCATTAACTTCTAGTCAAATGTTTCTGTTTTGATGCGTGCAATTAAAATATTCAAGATTTTAAAGCAATCATTCCTAGGAGAGAAATTTCATTTTCTCTGCTTTTGCCTCTTTTAAAGTAACTGTATATGTCAAATTCATTGCCAATTGAACATCACTTATGTATTCTAATACTCTCAGCCTAATTTATTTTTTAATTTCCCTTGCATTTTTCATCACCTGCCAAGCCATACTGTAACCTAACATATCCTAATGAGTTCATAGTGCTTGCTGGGGCATGGATGAGGTTTCTAATTAAAATGAAACCACCATTATGAATACATTTCTAATAGTATATTCTGTCCTTAATCATTAAAAATGGTAGCTCTCTATGCAAAAGTTACTTTCGTTTTTGTGGTATAGCATAATGAACTCTTTTCTTAGCCTTTAACTTTTACCTAAGAAAAGTGTGCAGTTTTGCAATCCAATTAAATTTCTTCTCTTGACCTCATCCTTTCAGGAAGACATCTGACATAATCACAGGTAACATTTGAACTATTTGCCAAAGCAATAAATTTCTACCCAAAATAGTCATAGACAGGTACTTTAAAACATAATGTATTGGCTGAAATTTGGGGAAAGACCAAGAAGATTATAGTCTTTTTTGTTTCTGCTTTACTTCAAAAACTTTTAAATCTGTGAACAGATTTTCAGAAAGTTCAAGGGGATAGCGAAGGAGAACGGAAAATGGAGACGATATAGGAAGACAGAGAAGGCAAAATTGCAATATAAGAGGGCTAGTGAAATTTAGACAGTGAAAAAAGAGAAATAACGAGAGACAAGCAGAGGAGAGGGAGGGAGAAAGGTGGGAGATAAAGGAAGTAACTGATGTTACGATACTTCACAAAAACTTTACAAAATATTCTTGCAAAATTATTACTCAAAGCTTGTTAACTTGGACAAATAAGAGAAACATTAGAGAACTATGGTTTTTTAAGATTTATTTTTTTATTTTATTTTTATTGGAAAGGCAGATACACAGAGAGGAGAGACAGAGAGGAAGATCTTCCGTCCGATGATTCACTCCCCAAGTGAGCGCAACAGCCGATGCTATGCTATGTTGCCTTAAAGCCAAACCTTAAAGCCTTTAACCTTTTGTTGGAGGTCTTACTGCAGCTGTTGATGCCTACTTTGCTGTTATTTTTGTAGTGGGGTGAGAATTTTTGTATATCTATTAATTCTAATCATTTTTTCAAAGTAATATGTCATCATTATTGACTAAGATACACCTACTCAATGCTAAAAGAGATTTAGAATAAGATAAAGCAGATTGATTTTGGATTATGTTGTAAGTCATGGCATTAAAGATTATGATTTCAATGGAATCTCCTCATGGAGTTTCAAGTTTTTATTCCTAAGATTAAGGAAATAAAACTAACTTTGAAAATGAAACTAGCAGAACAAAAGTTCTAAAATTTCTTATGTAAAAATATATGAAACAATTAGAAGACTTCCAAGTCTCATGTGGACCATATTACTCAAATGTTTGTCAAGGATTATGGAATGGTTACATGAATCACTTGGGAGCGTGGAAAACAGTTCTAACAAAGTACGTGGCAGAACTGTGGAGTAAAATGAGGCAAATGAAAACTTTCCAAAGAAAATTCTAATTCATATGTGCCTCCCCTCTTGCAGTGTGAGGGTCTGGATCAAAAACATTATACATTCTGCAGTCAAAGAAAGATAAGCATAACTCCAGAGTAACCAGAGACAGCTTGTCACCTCATTCCATTAGACTCATTCTCTTCAAGAATATAATGTTAAATGTAATACTCTCCTCAGAAGATTATTATATGCAATAACAATCAGTTTTTGTTATTTTTGTTATGCTTTCATATTTTACCACATGCCAGAAACCGGGCTGAAGCACTTTAGTATTCCTAGCACAGAGCAAGCAATAATCTATGACATTCCTTTTGAATCCATACAAATTAGCATTGAAAAATAAATAGAAGTATATTAAAACAACAAAAAAGATTGCTTTTTGATACTGGCATTGTGATGTGGTGGGTTAAGCTGCTACTTGCAAACTTGGCATTTCATCCTGGAATGTTGGTTTTTATACCACCTGCTCTGCACCTGGATCCAGCTTCTCTGTTAGGAAAGGCAAAGGCTGATGGCCCCATTGTTTGAGTATCTATCAACCACATGGGATATCAGGATGTAGTTCCAGACTCCCAGGATTTGGTCTTGCCCAGACCTGGCTATTTGTCATGTGGGGAGTAATCCAGAATATGGAGGGGCTCTCTCCCTTCAGCAACTGTCAGCCCTTTGTGTGTCTCTCTCCTCTCTCTTTCTCTCTTTTTCTCCCTCTCTCTTTCTCCTGTCTCCATCACTCTGCTTTTTACATTTTTAAATACCTTTAAAAAAAAAAGAAGCTCCATTGACTAGAGGAAAGACAAACATGTAGAAAGATGAAGATAACACAATATAGGAAGTGCTGTTATACGGATATATATAACATGCAGATGTAGCAGAAAGGAGAAGATAATCCCCAAAGTGGGATTTTAATGCATTATCCCTGGCTTTCCTCATGCCTTCTATTCCCCTTCATCCCTCCCTTTCTCCCTCCCACTGCTGGAGTGGGGGCTGCGTTCTGGTCTGAATATGGCTCCTTTCTGCTCTATCTGCATATCACTTATATCCACGTAACAGCACTTTCTACATCTTTGTCTTTCCTCTGGCAAATGGAGAGCATAACCAGGTGCACATGGAGGATATGGCAGTCTGTTGGAATCTGCAGAGGATGCCTGGCATCACAACAGAGGACAGAACAAATCGATCAACTACCCCAGCCATATGTTGGCAGTGAAAAACTGGGCAAACGGAGACCCTAAGGTGGAGTATGTCAATCAATGGATTCTGCAGTGACCTCAACATGCTTGGAATGGCAAGATTAGCAGCAATTCATAACTGTTGAACTATCAAAACCACTTGAGCAAGAACCTCGGGGATCTGGGATGGGTGGGAGTCTGGGTGGGGCTTCTCCCTTTATCTCCTGCTTTACCCCAGATACAAGAAAAAAACAATGTGGAAATAATAGACTTACCTACTTTCGTATAACTCTTGAACCTTTGTGCCCCAATAAACTATGTGAAGATTGTCAAAATAAAGAAAAAAAAACAGGGAAAAAAATCTCAAAGTTAGGAGTAAACACAACTTGACAGTAGAATATTAAGGTATATTCTATTTCCTTTTCTCTCCTTCTCAACTACTCACTATAAAGCTGCTATATATTTACATAAGCAGAACATAGCTTGGTTTTTATCTGAAAGAAGATTGGCACTATATTGTTGTTTATTATGCCATATATAAAATTTATGCCAGGAAGTTTATATATTTGTGCTGGCAGAGCATGTGTGCGTTATGTGTCGGAAAAATCTCTTCTAATAAACTAAATTAGCATCTGCAAGGGATGCTATAAAGGAATTTCTCAGTTGATGCAAATGTAAAAGCAGTTAACATTTGTATTTACACTGGTGATCCTCCATTTCTAACTGTGGAGTTAATGGACTTTGTACATGGTTTACTTGCTAGCTTCCTGCTAAGAGAAAGGCTGGTTACAGGTAGTGTAACATAGTTGTCCATCATAGAAGCACTGTTTACATTATACAAAACACGGATTAAGTATGAGAAATAAAGTGATTCCACATCTATTTTAGAACTAAAAATTCCCTTGATATCCAAATGTGGTTTTATATAAAATGATTTTTTATCTTCCCAAGCATTCTTCAATTTTTTTGGACAAGACAGTGAGTAAGAAATTTATATTCTCAACATACTATATCATACCTTATCATCTTTTGCTTTATTTGAAAGAAAATAAAATTTTCAGAATTCTGCCCTAGAAACACTTGACTTTCCTCCAGCTAGTGCTCTGCCCTGATGGAGTCAGGCAAAGCTGCCTGCTCTCCCTGGTGCTCTCTTGGCTCTCTGCAGATCAGAGCAGTTGCTCTTCTGTTCTCACACCTCTCATCCCTTCAATAACATCTCAGGCAGAGAGCTCTCAGTGCAATTTGGGTATCTTTCCAGAAGTGTAGTTTTCAAACTTCAGCTGAAGTATCATTTTTATTATGTGTAAGTACTACCTGGGGAAGTTGTTACCAATTCTTGTTTCTGGAAATCCTCAGGGAATCTGATTCATTTAATATGGGGTGGAGCCATGGATTCTGAAAATTTAGCAATACTGCAGGCTACCTGAACACAGAAAATATTAACCTTTGAAGGAACCTGGGTCCAGACTTTGGCAATCCTCACCTCAGCTTCGTATTTCTCACTTTTGCCTTCTAGGACATTTTTGTGGCTTTCTTAGTGGCTTCATTCAGCAGAAGGCTTCCTATTCCACAAAGTCACAGGAAATTTGACAACCATTTTGATGAATCTCTAATGCTCCAACTTCAAAGTTCCTTTAATCAATTTCAATCACAATATCTAAAAAGCTGTACTTGTATTTCAGATTTTGATAGCAAACTGAATCCCAACATTCTGTATTTTTAAAACATTCTGTATTTTCTCTGTAGAAAAACATTTTAGCTTTCTCATTTGCTAACTTTCGACAAATCACTGTAAGTAGTACTCCATAAAAATGTCTTCTGCCTTCTGTGCTGTCTCTCTTGATCCAACTAATCATGATTATGGAAACCTCAAATTATTCAATACCTAATATGCATTGGCTCTTTATTCAGCATTAAATTAATATCATTTTGCAAATATCTGCTGTGGCAGTTTGCAATTTAGACAACATGGTCATTGCTTTTCCTTGCTTTCCTGTAAGTTTCCATGGTACTCATCTGTTCTTGCATTCACTTTCCTGCCTTTTATCTAGAAGAGTTTTCAAAAATGGATGAATAAATGCACAGGATAATCCCTCTTCACCTGAAAACTATTGTTCTTTTCTTTCTGCCTAGCAGCTCTATCTACATCATCTGTACTCTGAATTCAGCTTTGCATATGCTACTCTTCCCAAAAACCATATTGTGAACTCCTGAATCAAGATGCACAATATATTAGGGAGAGGTCAAGGAAGTCAGATTTTCCTACAGATCACATTTCAGCTTTTCATGATGGCATAGTCCTGACAAGTCATATTGACTTGTCTTTAATCTCTAGTCTATCATCCACTAATATTATTAGCCACCACACTTGACAATGAGAAAGATTAAATACTGTTTTATATTTGATATATCCAGAAAAACTCCCTAATATGGATGGCACTCAGCATATTTTGGCAAGTACTCTGTCTGACACTAATCTCTGCCCATCATTCCTAGTACTAATTAGCAAAAATGCCTCGTTCATTACATACAATGGAAATGTAGGAAAAACAGATTATAGTAGGAGCTGTCAAAAAAACTGGGAGTTTTTGATGTGAAATAGGGAAAAAACATATCTCAGGTGAATCATTCTGTTTTGACATATATTCACAATTCTCACTAAATTAAAATATAATAACAAATATATGAATCACTGACTATAAAACTGAAGAAAATCTTCAATGTAATTTCATTTCTCTCAGCCTATAAAAAACCTTTGGGGTTTATGATTAAACTTTATGTTTGTGTCTCTTTTTCAACAAAATAAATATAGTTGCAGAAATCTCACTTATGAAAATATAATTCACATATATTTCCTCAGGAATTTCAAATGTTTTCATACATATGAGTATAATACCATTTCCTGAAGTCAGAAGCATCTCATCAAGACAGTCTCTTCAGTTCTTGCATTTTGGGCCTTACAATAGAAAGAAACAACTATTTGTTTTTTAAACATTGTTGAATAATCATAAAGATTGTATTAATGGATTTAATGTAAGTTAAATTATACATTTAATTTAGCTATGCAAAATTTATGTGCTTACTCTGTCTGAAATTTTATAAACTATGTAATGTAGTCATTGATTTAAATTTCTTTCTCAAGTAAAATGCAGTTTATCACATGAGTCAAAACATTAAAGGTAAACTTGGCTAATTGGCGTACATGAAATTTTGTTTCAGTCAGGCACGAAATCCTGCTAGTTTCTCAATGTTATATTGAATTCCTCCAAAAAATTGTGCCCCCTGTTTTCTGAGCATTATGTGTCTTTTAAGGTTGTGACTTTGTCCCAGATTGTTTATCTCTTGTCATCATGGAACAAAATCATATCAAGCCTGAAGCAAATCCCAAATGGTGTTATTTTATTGTTGAGAAGGTAGAATGACCTCTATTAAGAGATAGTCATTTAACATTAAGAGACCAAAGGTTTGTCAAAATTGGGCTTACTCTACTAGTTGTAAAAGAATGGTGTGCCCAATATGTTACTATGGACTAGGGAGAGAGTCTTGCTCTTTGTTGTCGGCCTGGCTTATAAGAATGATCTAACCAAACAAAAGATGTTTTACATCAGCGATAACCTGCAATAAAGGGCTAGCACTTATGTTTCTTTCTTTGTAAACTTCTTTGAGGAAAACGCAAGTTGCTTATGAAAAAAGTGAGATACTTGCATTGTGACAGCTATCTGAGTAGTCAAGTGATAATCTGACATTTTAAGATTTAAAACAGGCCTGTATCTGTATTGATATGGATTTATTTTGATCATTATATGTCTAGCAACCACAGGACCAAAACACTTATATATTTTGAAAAAATAACTTAGACAACTTACCTAAATATATGCCTTAGTTCTGCAAGCTCATTTTCCTTGATTTGCAAGTCTTCTTCTAATCTTTCCATTATGATAACATAAGATTCACTGACTTTCTTCTTCCATTCATCTAATAAGGAAAAATTAATGGAAATTAATTATAGCTGTGTTTTGTGACATGTATATACAGATTACAACATACGAGTAATTAGATGTCCATTTTCTATTCTGTATTTTGCCATTATTCTACAATACTTAAATTACTGATGGTGGGTTAAATTGCAGATGCTTACATTTGAAATATAATCATATTTAATCATAGTATCTAAGAACCCATTTGGCATTGGATAATATATTTACATAAAACAATATTTTTGATTTATTTAATTTGATTTTTTGCATTTTAAGCACAATAATTCCTGGTTGTTAGAGTTTTTGAGTACTAGATATTTAACATACAATCCTAAAATCTCAGTATTTACTTGTAAGGAGAAATATTCTATAATATTATGTAAAGAAACTGAAATAGTATTTTATGAGAAATATTAGACATTCTGTAAAACACTGGTCAGAAAGACAGCACCCTGGGTTTTCATTGTCTTTGTAACACTGTCACTCTTATCCTCTGTATACAGGTTAACACATGTTCTAATAGTTTATAAATAACCTGAGACTATAATTTCATCATGTTACATTTAAAGAAGTAAGGGTAATTACCAGTACAAGTTTGAGTTGGTCTTGATTTATAATTTCCCATTTGCAGTAGTTGCTTCTTTTCTACAGTGCAGTTCTTCAACTTACTAAATTCCAAGTTCAAGTGCAGTGACAGTCCGGTTGAGAAATATGTTGATTGTCTGGCTAAAAATAAACCAACTGCCAAATGGAATGTCATGCAAGAATGACAAAGAACAAAATGCTGCATGCTTTCAAGTGTGAAACCATAAAGGGAATTAATTAGTCTGTTTAAAAGAGCTGTATCAAAAATAAATAGCCAATGCTTCAGTAGAATTATTTGCTTCCACCAATTGATTATCTACTCATACATACCTTTATGGGCCATTTAATTCACAGATAAAGCTAGAATGCTGTTCAGGTACATCTGAGATTCAAAAAGAGCTATTAGAACTACCTAGATCATTTTTTCAGGGTCATTTTCTTCTTAATCATAATAAAGGAAGCGGGCAAACAGTGATTAGTCAATACAATTGCCAATATATATAAAAAATGGAAATTCATTTCTGTCAGATAATCAACCGAAATGACTGAAAATTTGCCTATGAAAAAGCTGTGAAAGTTTGTTTGTAGAAAAGACTTCTCAGCATAGACTCATAATATTTGTTTGTTTGAAAAGGGAGAACTATCCCTCACTCTCCAAATAGCCTTAATGGCTGAAGCTGAGATTATTCTGAATCCAGGATCCAAGAGCTTTTTCCAGCCCTACCAATTTCTGTAGAAATTGCTCCTTTCTCCCTTGGGTTAACTAGAGATTCTTGGTGGTACCCTCTTCTTTCTAGGCTTCACCTTTCCAACAACCTAATTGCATACGTGGGATGTGGGTGGCCTAGCTATGTCATAACCATCTGTGCCACAGTGGCAGCTCCTGAAAGTGCATCTGGATGACTTCTATTTTTTTTTTGAGAAAATATAAATAAGGCACAATATGAACTGGAAACAATTTCCTCCATTGCTCTTTATTCTCTGTATGTCTTCTCTTACGCGGGATTAAGAAGCTAAAAGACTTTTAGATAACTAAATGTCAGGATAGACTTAATAAGTATTCTCTTTTTGACTAAACTTCATATTTTGCTGAATTCCTTACTCAATCATTAATACCACCATTTTTCAAGTGATTTATCATACCACTTCTATATACATACATATAGGTTCTCCTATTAATTCAATGACCCTGGTTACATTCCTGAATTCATTTTATTTTGAGTTTATATGGTTTATTTATCCTAATCTACACTTATGCATCTGCTATTTACATTTCATACTAATTTCTTCATAAATATTCAAAAATATGTTTCAAAGGAAAAATACATAAATGACCTTGATACCTCCTCTGCTTTCATATTTCCAAAACAGGAATTATAAAGAAAAGGTATAATGTGAAATAAAACCAGTGTACATATAACAAATCTTATTATATTTGGAAGTGTAACTTCATATATACTTAAAACTTAGAGCACACTGTTGTTGTATGTGAGTTCTTATCAACATATCCTTATTTCTCCTATTTGAAGATGCTTGTTTTTGATGTATTGCATTTGTTGACAAATAATTGAGAAAAGTGTTGCTTTAAACATGAGAAAAAAGAACTAGAAATTTGGTTATATTTAGTTTTTAATGTATTCCCTTAACAGACATAAACAATGTTTATTGAAACAAAGCAATATAAAAGAGAAATTGAGCATTGTATATCATACCTACAATTATTGTTTATAAATTCATCTAAGTAATTCATTAAAGCAATATAAGCTAGTTTAAGCTAATGTATGTAACATTCTTTATTGTCAAGCAGTTTTCTTTCTTTTCCACTAAATACCTACATTTACCCTAAAATATCTACATTTACTATATGTTAGTTGAAATTATAAATCACCATCATGAATATGAACATTAATGGCATAATATTTAGATTATTTTCCAAAAATGAGTAAGACTTGAGAATACATCCTAATGAAAGTAAATGTCAAGAAAGGAATAGCAGTCACTTAAATAGGTGCTTCCAGTATCTCTATGAGAATACATTAAAAAAAGAGAAAATAATATTGCTGTTTTAATTTGTAGTACAATGTTGAATGCAAAGATCTTAATCTTAATTTGCTGTTGAGTGAGTGGGAAGTGAAGTTTGTTGAAGAATCTGAACAAACTAAAGACAATAACTGTTACTGGTTAAAATTGTCTTTCACGTACTAAAAGAGTGGAGAGAACAATTGGGGGGGGGGACACCAATGCCTGTTAAACTGTGTCATAAAATAACTAAAAAAACATTTAAAAAATGTCTTTCATGTAATCATTTGAACATTTTTAGTTATCAATTCTTCACTGATCAATTGATTCATCTATCAACTCAACCAGCATATAATACACCATATTCTCTAAAGAGCATATGGGAGTCAAGGATAAAAATTAAACAACTACTTAAAATACAGAATGTGTGTGATGACAGAAGCATACATTATTGACAATAAAATGTGCATCTATAAGCCAACATTTCAACCAAGAATTATTTCTTTGAAATATCAGAAAAATACTCATTTCCTGAATTAGGTTGCTCTTATTCTTCCTTGATTCTTCATTCTTCTCCAGGAGTCAGTTGAGAAACAGAAAAACAAACAAAAAACTACATTGTGTTATAACTATGGGTTAATTAACAACTACTTTTCCATAAATATAATTCTGAAATTAATTCGTAAAACAAATAAAAATGGGATGTTGGGAGCAAAAACAATCTGTCCTACTTATAATGGATTAGTTCTTTTTATTTCCCAATTTTCTACCAGTGCCTGTTCATGAAGTGAGAGAAAAAAAAGCCTCCTTTTATGTAGATCAGACAAATTATTTAAGGATTCAGATTGTGAGGTCACATAACATGTGGTTGTTAGGTAATCCATACCATGCAACTATTATGTAGCTAAATTAGATGGAGAGGTTTTGGTAGGAGTCCCCTTGATCCAATGATTATTTTCCTGTTGGTTAGTGCAGCTTCTGTGCTGTTGAAAATTATAAGCTGCTGGATCTGCTCAAGTAATCCTAAGACTGAGTAATCAGTTAAATTCATTAATTTTGGAGGAATTCCATGTTGGCTTATTTTTCAAATGTAAAGGCCAAAAGAACAGTGTCAAAGCATTGCATCTCTGAGTTTATGTGTGACCACTGAGTTAACTTACTGATTGTATACGACCACTTCTTGGCTTCCTCCCTCCCTGCAGAGACACCCTTTGTAAGCTGTTTGACCAACAATATTTATCATTACTTGTGTTGCAAGTTCTCTATTATAACTAGGAACAGCATAGTGCTCCTGGTTAGCACGCCCTGTTGTGTTGTTTCTGCTTCTCTACCAGCCTTTGTAACAGTGACAGAAGCAGTATCAGACTTTCATATATGTTCAAAGGTTCATGATCTCCTTTCTGTTTATATCTCAGAACACAATCAGATTCAACTTTTATTTGATTATATGCTACTTCCATTTCACATTTTAGCTGTACAAATTGACTGGTTTCATTCATGGCTGAAATTTTATACATTTAATTTTGACTGAATAAAAAATTACTGTTACTTAATATGACATTGTTGAGAATCAAAAAAACAAGTCACTCTATAATCTGGTAATAGATCAATGCACTTAGTTGAGTGATGGAACACAAAGTAGAAAGGTGTAACTTTGGTAGTGCTGCCTGGAATCCCAACTTCTTTTTGCAGAGACATGTCGCTAGAGCCAAACATTTAGGGAACTTGCTAAAGCAAGTAATGTTTTAGCACTTTCTTAATGCCAGGCATATTTTGGATAACAAATTTCCATGCCTCTATAGCACAAATATTATAATAGATGTATATCTTATTTTACTGGTTTACAATAACTTATTCTTTCTATGTAAAATTTGAGCTTAGAATCTAAGTATATAAAAAATTTGCACTTTCAATTAAAGTTTGGGAAAAAAAGGCACATGATTTTCTTACAACTTCACTCTTATCTAATTTAGATAATCAAGTATAAACTACAATTCTACAATTCCATATTCCAAGATGGCTCATTTTCATGAAAAATCAATTTTTGAAGTTGCCACTGCATTTGGAAAAAAGGCTAGCTTGTGCTTTCCCAATCTGGTAGTATGGAGAGTAATTGTCTCTGCTATTGTCTCCTGGAAAGTCATCTCCCTCAGTCAGGATTCATTTGAGATGCCACCCATTCTGAAGAGTCTTAATTAATGAACCATACTAGTTTGATCATCTCCTGGTTGTTCCCATTCTGTCTAGCATCCCACTTTTTCTCTTGATTCCATAATTGTGGTCACCTGAAATTCACCCTAATAGAGAAGAAAAGATATGAATTGATTAACTTAAGCTCAATGTAAAAATTTTAAACAGAAAATCATCATAAATTCTATAAAGAAGAAATTACATATCCAGAGCTGTTAGAAGTACCTATATCTGTTCTGTGGATCTTTTCTAATAGCAAAAAATGAAATGTTCATGACCATCCCTCCTGAGATCCAATGCAGGATCATTTCTAACTTGAATGTTTCTGATGCATAGGTGTATTACAGCATGGCATAACATATTTAAATTCCAAGTCTTGTGTCCAGTTATTTACTTAGGTTTGTAATAAACTATTATTTCCTATCTTCTTGGCAGAAGTTTCTATGTTGAGGTCTATGTCTCATTGCAAAAACTGTTGCATGAAATTATGTCACAGATTTCTCCCCTACTTGTGTGAATTCAGAGGGGAAATGATAGAGCCCTTTTAAAGGGACAGCAAGTTTTGCAAGTTGTGTGAGGCATATTAGAGCGAGAGAGAAATGCTGATTATCACATTGTGATTTTCCCTACTGCTATGCATGTCATCTTCCTTTTTTTTTTTTTTTGATTGATTGATTTGAAAGGCCAAGTAACAGAGAGAGAGATGGAAGAACAGTGAGAGACATCTTCCACCTAATGGTTCACTAACCAAATGGCTGCAATGGCTACAGCTGCAGCAGTCTGAAGCCAGGAGCAGGGAGGTTCGTGTGGCTCTGCAACATGGGTGCATACCACCGAGGACTTTGGAGATCTTCTGAACTGGTGTCCCTATGGAATATGCCAATGCCACAGGAGGCAGCTTTGCTTACTACACCACAGATCCAGCCCCCACCATCTTTTTAAAACTCTCATACA